CAGGGAATCTATAGTATTTGAAGTGCCAACCTTGTCATGCTTGGCAGCAGGTCACAGCAAGAGCTAGGCATTCTGAAGCCAGTCTATGAACCTACATGAACAGACTTTCAATTTATGTTCCTGTGGACTAAAGGATAATAAACAATATTTATAGTAGATGAGTTTTCTTCCCTCGGTGTATCCAGCCTTATATACAACTACAAACTTGCAAGGATGCATGTGTGTGTGTGTGTGTGTGTGTGTGTGTGTGTGTGTGTGTGTGTGCAGGATTCTAGACATAGTAATAGAAGAGTAATAGAAGAGAAAATATTTAGCCTGGAAAAGAAAAGAGGCATGAGGTCTGCCTTAAGATACTGTTAATAGCTGTCACTGAAAAGGGATTAGACATCCTTTACATCTCAAATAGGATAATTTGGGATCAAGGAGACATTCTCAATGCAAAGGAAAAGGTTTCAGTCAATAAGTCTGTTGGAATGGATTGCCTTTTGAAGCAGCAAATTTACTTCCTTGGTGAGTTCAAGCAGAGGCAGGACACTATCAGGGGCATTATCTAGTGATTGCTTCAGTTGACAAGGAAGTGGGTCAAGACAATTTCTTCTGGTTCTTTCTAAATGTTTAGATGTTAACACAAGACTGAAGAGGTAAGTTAGTGGCCGGACAGTAAATGAAGAACTTCCCCTTTGTTATTAAAAGCTATAGGGGCATATTACATGTGTCACACAGAAGATTACTTTCCTAAGTGCTCTGCATTCAAGATGAACCGGGAATGAGGAAACTCAAAAGCCACAGATAACAAGAATCCTCTAAAAGCATTCCATTTCATTACGTAAGTTCCCAGAAAGAGCCAAGATTGTGTGTTCCTTAATCAAAGACCAAGTTTTCCTGGGATGCATCCAATCCAACCCAGCCTATTCCAGCCCATTCCATTCCATTCCATTCCAGTTCAGTTCAGTCCAAACCAATCCAATCCATTCAAATTATGGCTGGATTATAGTAACTGGAACCATAACATTACATTTTCTCTTACAAGAACAGTTTTTATTTTTTTTTAACAATGAGATTTTTCTTTTCAAATATAAGTAAACATTTTCTTGGTATCCCAAGTGAAGCATGAAGAACTGTTTTCTTCCTGTTGAGATTACTGATGATCATGTTTACCAGTTTAGAACATTTGAGGATTTGAGATTTTGTAGCTTATTTTAAGAAATGTTATTTTAGCCACACCCCAGGTTCATATATATGTATTTTAACTGAAACTAGATGTTTGACAAATAACACATTCTTATATATTAGTATAGTGTTCTGAAATTTTAATTCAATGGAAACTATTTCTTCAATAATTACTGATCATGCCCTGCTTGTTACATGAGATTTTCAAGTTGAAAAACACAGCACTGAAAACTCAAATAATGGCAGACTAATGAGGAAACATACATGCTATCACTTTAGACCTTTTGATAGACTTGCTGCAGGAAGATAATTTTTGCATACCCGTCTCGTGGTTTACAATGAATTTCCATATTCCTCTTAAGTTCCTTTCTGCACACCTTTCCAGCTTCCTGTCCCCATCTTCTCACAGAAAGCTACACATCCCTGCAGCCTCTTGAAACATGAAAGACTTGGAGAGATGTATAGATAGTCAGCATTCATCCTGTGTATCTTAAATCCTCACATCTACAGAAGCAAGCTTTAGCCTAAAGCATGTCTGTTTATGAGCACATTCCAGTGACTGCTGCGATAATGGAATCGCTGATACACTGCTCAGAGTGCTTGGGTAACCGTTCTTTTGTTATTAGGAAGGCAAATGGCATTTTTAAGATCAAAGTGGACACCTCCTGGAAGTTACATTTATTACAAAAGGCTAAAGTGTCTGCATTCCCAGGCATCAAAGGGACTTAACACAGAAAGACAGTAATATTCAATAGACCAGGGCAATTTCTGACAGGACAGCCACCACCTAAGTGGTTGATAGGAATGAGTGGTAATCTCATTCTGAAAGTTACCAGTTCTGTCAGAGCCAGGGTTAAGCAAAGTGCTTGATATTGTGATGGCCACAGCCAGGGTCAGTCTGACAAAAAATTCCACTGTCAGTGTGGGCACGGAGAATACTTTCAAGCTTTAGAGTGCTCTTTGGTGGAAGTGTGATCCCATTGTTTCTGAAAGCAGGGGCCTCATTTTGCTGTCATGGTGGAAGTGATGTAAAAGGTCAGTATACTGAGTCACTATTACACTATTTGGAATGCCAGTATAGAGATGAATTCCAGCCTTTCAGATGTGGTGACCTGGATCATAGCAATTGCGCTGTAGACAGGCCCCTGTTATCTGCCATCCAAGAAAAGTTCTGTGGTGTTTGTGGCTCTTCTGTTTGCAGATCCTGTGTTGGCTAGTTTTTATGTCAATTTGATACAAGGTCATCTGGGAGGAAGGAATCTTAATCATGAAAATGTTTCTATAAGACTGGCCTGGAGGTAAGTCTGTGGGGCATTTTCTTAATGACTGATGTGGGAGGGCCCAGTCCCTTGTGGGTGGTGCCACCCCTGGGCTGGTGGTCCTTGATGGTATAAAAAAACAGACTCAAGCCATGGGAAGCAAACCAGTAAGCAGCTGTCTGAGAATTTCTATTGCTTGATGAAACACTAGGACCCGGAGCAAACTGGGCAGGAAAAGGTTTGTTTGGCTTACACTTGCACATCACTGCTGACCATAGGAGGAAGTCAGGGCAGGAACTCAAACATAGCAGGAACCTATAGGCAGGAGTTGATGCAGAGATCTCATAGTGTTGCTTACTAGCTTGCTTCCCATGGGTTGCTCTGCCTGGTTCTTATAGAACCCAGGATGGCTATCCCGTGATAGAACCACTTACAATGACATGGGCCCTCCCACATCAATCATTACATAAGAAAACACTCCACAGGCTTACCTACAGCCCACCTTCATGGAGGCTCCCTCCTCTCAGATGTCTATAGCCATGTCAATTTGATGTTAAACTATCCAGCAAAGAAGTGCCCTTCCATGACCTCAGCATCACTTTCTGTCTCCAGGTTCCTGCCTTGGGTTCTTGTCCTGAGTCACTTGCATGATATAATACAAGCTGTAAGATGAAATAAACCCCATGTCCTTCCCAATTTGCTTTTGGTCAAGGAGTTTCATCATAGCACTGGAAACCGTAACTATGACATAGCCTCTCCTCCACTTAAAAAAATTCAATCAATTTTTAACTTTTTATTTTTTTTCTTATTTATTTTTAATTTATTTATCAAATTAAGAATTTGATAAATAAAAATGGTATGTATTTGTGGCTTATGACATGCTTTGAAATGCACATGCACATACCTGAGAGAGGGTTTAAATCAGACTTGTTATGTACCAACTCATCACTTACTTATCCTACGTTAAGTGCCTCTGACAAAGATTTCTGATGGCAACCTTCAGGGACATCTGAGAAGCTGTTCTCAGCTGGGTCTGCTTCTAATGCTTGTAAGAAAGTCCTTCAAATAGATCCCTATACATTTTTATAGCAGTTCTGAATATTCATGGACGTTGGTCAAAGCATATGGGAGAGCAATAAAGGCCCTTCATTATTTCTTTTCAAACACTTTCCAGTAATTTGAGAGGTTGAAATCCTAACTCCAGAAGCACTGCATAGTTAATAAACGTGTTTCATTTTACAAGAGAGACGACTTTCCTCCTGTTTTATCTTGTGGCTGACGTCTCAAATCCCCTTAACTCACCCAGGAGTTTATCTTTGTGGAGACTTGAACTGGAGGAAACTTTTTCCTGGGAGTTACTAAATGTTTATTAGAATTCAAATGGTTAGTGTCAGCAAAGTTGCTTTAGTACTTGGTAACTTTCCTACTGCTAACTTTTATGGCTTCTATTATTGATAAAAAGACAGTATTGATTTGAATGCATCTTAAATGGATTCCTACAGAGTGGGAAAAGCCGTGATCACAGATATTTTTCGCACACTAAAAAACTATACAAGAGTTTTAAAATGATAAAGATTTTATTGTGCTCAAGGGATATAGACTGGAGTAACTGGAATACACACTGGTCAATCTCTGTGCTAACTATTGGGAACACTTCACTGTTCACCATTAATAGTACTGATAGTTGTCACACTAAGCCTTCCTGTATCTTTCTCTTGAGATGTACAATTCTTATGTCACAATAAACATCAACAGGCTTCAGCTTTGTAGAAATCAGTCAATGAGTTATTGCAAGTTCATCTCTTCCAAGTACTTAAATTAGGAGAGGGGTGATTGATTATGTACTTTGGAATTGTTTTTCAATGGACGTCTCCAAGTTTAAGCTCTGGAAGTACATACTTGGGAGCACAGGCTTTCATCAAAAGTAGATTATTCCGCTGGGCGGTGGTGGTGCACTCCTTTAATCCCAGCACTCGGGAGGCAGAGCCAGGCGGATCTCTGTGAGTTCGAGGCCAGCCTGGTCTATAGAGTGAGATCCAGGACAGGCACCAAAACTACACAGAGAAAAACCCGCCTCGAAAAAAAAAAAAAAAAAAAAAGCAGACAATTTCAAATGGGTATAGACTATAGCCTCCAGCTCCGGTTCCTACTTTGTACTAATCTTCCAATACAAAACAAACGAACTGTTTATTTGAATAGTCTTTTAGGGAAAATGGAGAAAATAAAGATCCTAAAAAATCAGAAGAGAATATCTTAAAGTGGAGAATGCAGTCTCTTTGTATTTTTTTTTTTAAAAAGGATATGTGTTTCTGGTTTTTTTCACCAACACACATTTTCCCTTATGTTTAGCAGCATTTAAGATGGTGGTCCATGTATTTAGCATAGCATGCAATTTTAATCTGCTATAGCTTACAGGTCTGACCTTTCCATGGTGTTTTGCATATTGTTACCACCTGTTTTATTACATTTCATCAGAGATAATTGTCCTCAGGGGTCCTGAGTTTGACATGCCGGAAACGTCACCTGTCATCTGCCCTCTCTCCCTTCCCCCCTCCCTCAGTGGCTACTCACTCGAAAGGGTCGCTGGGATCAGCCCTCTGGAGCTCTGGAGGGATGGGGATTCTTTTGTAGTACATTTCCCAGTCGAAGGCTCCTCGCATGGCATCCCCAGCTTGTGCCTCGTACCCAAAGTGATTGTGGTCAATGACATCGATCATGGGACACACGATGGTTTTGTGGTTTAGTGCAATTTGGTCTGAAAAATGAAAGCACAAAATAGGAAATGACATGCCCGCCTAGGTCATCTATCATTTTCCAGCCAAGAGGAGCCCACAGCTCCTTTTAATGCATAACTCTTGCAGCCTTGGCGTCTCCCTGTCGTCATTAGAGCACTTTGCAGGAATCTCCAAACGTCGGACTTAACACGATGGGACAGTGATTAGGTACAATTAGAGTTGTTATATTTCCCTTTAAGAAAGTTAGGTCCCAGAGAGACTCACAGAAGTCCATTTAGCTCTACTCTGTCACATTTTTGCTCTGACCTGTCCCCAATCTGTCATTTTAACGTGCCTCCAACATGCGCGGAGTATAAACAGTACTTGTGTTCCTCCAAGCATACAGCTGAAGCCTGCTGAGAAAATACTGGCCTGCTTTCTGAAGGTTCCAAAATGTAAATATTTAACTTCATGGTTTTTATAGCATCGAATCATAAAACAGTCATGATGACTGCTCCCCGCAGAATGTCAACCAATCATATATAAAATTCTTGGCTGTCAAGTTGGACAGAGACTTGGTTGGGCCACTATTCTTCGAGACTGACTTTATTTATCAGCGCTGTACACGTTTTATCTTTTTTTTCCCATCCAATTAAAAAGCACCATTAGACGACACGGTACTATTGCTACGATGCTGCTGGTAAACCCATGAGCAATTCCAGGGCGGTTTATACCCATTCTCCTTCTAATACTCCCACGGTCCGTGAAAAGTGGCTGCGGTTGTCATCCTGTTTATACACAGCGAGACTGAGCTCAGAGAAGTCACATTGACTTGTCAAGGGCTATTCAGCTTTGGGGAATAATCATCAGCATGCAGCCGCTGCCTAATTCTCCAGTTCCAAAACCGGCCTTTTTTCTAGGTTGTCATGGCGCGTCTCCTAGCAGACAGGTGATTTTTCTCTTCTTTCCAGTTCTAGCCAGATATTTTTATTGTGATAGAATTAACAGGCTCTGCAGGAAACTGGCATTTGTTTATGTTGGTGCATGTAGACTAGCAATACATGAAGTGTTTTTTTTTCCTCCTCTCAAGAACACGTGTTTAATCCGTTTATTACAACACCGCTGTCTGACAGGCAGGATGTTGAAGTATGAACACCTGCTCTCTTGCTATTTGGAAAACCTTTGGATGTGGCGTGTGACATTTAACAAAGGGTATCATTTAGAAATATGATGGGAGTTGGTTATTTCTGTGTATTTTTTTTTCCCTCAGAGATCCTGAAGCTAATGTAACCTGTGTGAGAGATCAGCTTTGTATAGTGAGGAAACTGTCCATTTACATTGGAAGCTTCTGCTTACCGTAGAGCAGGAAGCAAAAGGTTTTATTGGCTATAATAACAGTTGACATTTTTATCACACTGATAAAAGAATATGGAGAGGGAAAAAAATCCCATAGTGAATTTCTCTTGCAATTACACATGTTCATTCATTCGTTCATTTATTCATTATTTCATGTTACAGTAATTATTTACTGAGTAAAACAATGGGTCAATCATTTTCTTGATTGTAAGGCTACTGTAGAGAATAATACCACAAATACCACTGTATTCAGGAATGGGGCAAAAATTATAAAATGTATATAGTGTTACAAGAAAATAAGACAGAAAGAACAGTGGTAAGGGGGATACAGAATACTGGAGTGTGGAAATGGAGTCGGTTTTAGACCATGGCCCCAGGTAGCCTCAGAGAGCCTGGGGGTTGTATTTCTCTTATTGCCAGCTAATTAGCAGAAGCACGATTTCAAGGTAACTGCCACCATGGGCTCTCTGAGCATCCGTTCTCACCAGGGCAAGTCTTATGATGGGCTTTAGTTTTATCTAAGTGGCATTTTCCCCAGAGGATGGTGGAGACCATCAGAGTAAGGTTGGAAACATCTCGTCGATCAGCTCTGCAGCTTTTAGTATCATGGCTTCAGTGAGCTTCTTCCATCAAATTCAGAACCAGCTTGATTTACAAGTTCCTTGACCAACAAGGAGTCCCAAGGTGATCCAAAGAGAATGAGTCTGTTAAATTAACTGTCAACGTTCCCTTCAAATTTCCTTTCAGCTCTCATCCAGCTGGACTAGCTCGGGGTGAAAGCCGCATGACTAATTTTTCATCCAAGACTGGTGCCTACATTTCAATTTCCAGGGATCAAACAAACAGACTCAATAGGAAATTGAAATTCAGGTATAATCCCCAAGGTGAAAAATGAACCAAGAAGCAGCGATGTGGCTCCGCCTGTTTCTTCATTTTGGATGATGTATCAAGACACTGATAGAGGAAAATAAAAAGAGATAGCATCCCAAGCTTGAATCATTTCTTATCCATCAGGCCCACAGGAAATGAAATTCTTTAATGAGAAAGAGTGGGCTGTGGGTGTCTCTTATGCTCTTTTGTCTACCCCCCCTTTCCCCTGTGATTCATAGTGAACAATCAGAGGTTTGATAATTGGCATTTAGGGATTGCTTTGGTTCATATAGAAGTCTGACCTTTGGTTGACTTGTTAGAGCATTCAACAACATACAGGTCAAATTCAGTTTGAGGGACTCTTGCTGTTGCTAATGAAATTCTAAATGTCTGTGTCCTTGGATGAAGCACGTTTAATTAAAGGCTCACAGGAGTCTCTGGCTGTTGTGCTCCTGGCATCCTGTTGATTGAGAAGGCTAGGCGGTCACCTGTGCAGAGGCATACGGACCGGTGATTTTGGAGAGGGTGTTAGTGGCTGGGTCTTGTGTTTTACATTCTGTCTGGTTGTCACTGAGTCCCTCCTTCTTGTTTTTTGCTGATGGAGCTTGGCTGGTTGAAACTGAAATCCCATATAATAGTTAACAACAGAGCACACTTTCTGAGTGGTGGCGGTGAAGGCGGTTGTCACTGGCTTTATTTATAAAGCCAGGGATGTAGTTACAATAAAACTTGCTTTGGAGAAACATAAGATAATAAGAAAGGAGTGTAATATATATGTACTAAGAACTTTCTAGAAAGAATTTCTTTAGGTATGCGATTTCTTTCTTAGGCACAATGGGGGGTTTTCTGTCTGACTTCATTGTAAACTAACAAAACAACAATATCGAGGCTTGAATTGAGCCGCAGTTGGAGTTTCTAGCTGGACTGATGGCCAGTTTGCTTATGTCTGTAGTGGTTCAGTGTGATGTGACATGACATGCTTTGCTTCCTTCTTTTGGTTAGCCATAACTGATCACTCAAGACTCATCATTGCCTGCACAGCAGCTCAGTGTTTGAGTGGCTCTGTGTGAATATGGAGGATTATACATTTAAGGATGTAGGATAGTACCAGGACTGGAAAGAAAAACAAAAGGACAATGGCATTATACATCTAAGGCGAATCCCTTAGATTTTTATATCCTGGGGCTGAATAATTTTCCTCCTTTCTTAACCATCTTGTGATAACTGTTATAACTGTATATATGCATATACATGGGCATGTGTATTTTGATCTTATTCTAATTATAGGATGACTGAAAAATAGTTTGAGGGTATTTTTTTTTACTCTAGTGTTTACCCAACAAATGTAACTGCAATGAAAGAAGAGGTATAATATAATAGAAACCTTCCTAACCTTAAGTTAGATTGCTCCTGGTCCTCTCTGAAGTCCTATCTAATGCAGTTATACCTATTTGTCATCAGCGGTGACTAAGATCCAATTCAAACTCAAGCCTTTGTTGACTGCAACATTTACAGAAGAAACTTTGCACTCCATTAGCAGCGCCCAACTGCCAGTCTCCTGGGTCCAGTGTGCCACTGGGAGAAGGATGGTGAGGTAGCATACTCACTGAGGAGTGGGGGCAGCCAGTTCACATTGACCTCACAGTGGGAGTCTAGGAAGGTCAACACCTCGCCTCTGGCCATCGAAGCTCCCAGGAGTCGGGTCCGGATGAGTCCTTCCCTTTTCTTGGTGCGAACGATTCTCACTTTGGAAAACCGAGCCATGTAATCTTCTAACTTATCCTTCAAGTGTTCTAGGAAGGAAAAAATACACAGGAAGAATGCCAAACATTAGTTACAGCGGACTCCTTTGTGGATGCTCTGCACAGAGCATATGTGAACGGTGAATCCAAGTGGAACAATTTCAAAGTCTGTGTTTCTGCTCTCTTCATCTGGAGGAAGATGCTAATAAGATTTTATGCTTAGGGGTTTTTGTATTTTTATTTTCCCCAAAGCTCCATAAACCACAAATGTTGCCCTTTGAATTCAATGGATGGCGGTGGTACCCCAGAGCTCAGTCATGCAGCTAATGTTGGCCAGTGGCCACCATGCTAATCCTGGCCAGCTCGTGCCAAGATGAGCATCGGCCTTCTAGCTCCTGCTGTGCAAAGTCAGATGAACATCCTGGCATGTGGGCTCTTCCCGACAAGAGGGCTCTTTACAGCAAAGTTTTGCTTGGTATTTTGTGTGCTGATAATAGTGCACGCAAAACAAGAAGGGAAAATATCTGTTAAATCAGTAAGAACCACACAGCTTCCCACTCTGCGAGGCAATAGAAAACTGAGAAGCAAGTCCGGTTCTGGCTCCTAATTGGAACTGGAAAGGTGACTCACTTGGTGTTGAAATAGATGGGAACAAGAAAGGCAAAAGAAATCCTGTATTGTCATCTTGAATGTTGCTAGCTAAGATTTGGAAATCACTTGCACTTCTTAAAATTGAAAATCTTTCTTTCCTAATTAAAACCAAACGGTGGGGGCAAAATGAATTAAAAAGCCTCTATTTACATGGTAAGGTATTTTCTATTGGCATTAAAACCCCACCAGTCTTTCAGTTCTTCTAAAGCCAAATGATGTATTTGGTGATTTTATTTTTGTGCAATATGGACTTACATATTTTTATTTATTGATGCTACTAGTCCATGTACAAGATACAGTGCTGGCTAGTTTTATGTCAACTTGACACAAGCTGAAGTCATCTGAGAGGAGGGAGCCTCAATTAAGAGAAATGCTTCCATAAGACTGAACTGTAGTCAAGACTATAGCACATTTTCTTAATTAATGATTGATGGTAGAAGGCCCAGCCCATTATGGGTGGTGCCAAGCAAGCCTGGGCTGGTGGTCCTGGGTTCTATAAGAAAGCAGGCTGAGCAAGCCATGGGGAGCAAGCCAGTAAGCAGCACTCCTTCAGGGCCTCTGCATCAGCTCCTGCCTCCAGGTTCCTGCCCTGCCTGAGATCCTGTCTTCACTGCTTTTGATGATGAACTATCGTATGAAAATGTGAGTGAAATAAACTATTTCCTCCAAGTTGCGTTTGTCATGATGTTTCATCACAGCAATAGAAACCCTAACTAAGACCGATACTATGAGGATTTTTCTGGGATTTCTGACAAGTGTAGCCTAATAGTCACCAAACCCATGTTTTAGAATGCAGTATGCTATTATTTATTTATTTTTAACGTTCAATCTTTTTTTTTCTGCGTACATGTAATCAGAGTAAATATTCCAGAGACAGAGACAATATGAAAAGCCAAGATCCCCACAAATTGCCAATTCCATAATAATACCAGGTAAGGAAAATTGCCTGGAAGAACTTCCAGAAAAAGAATTCAAAAGAACGATTATAAGTATGTTCAAACAACTCAAAGAAGGCATGTGTATATTCCAAGAGATCAAAAACAAAGAAATGAACGAGAAAGTTAACCCAAGATATGAAAATAGAACCCAATACAGTGGTAGAGTTGCTGATGAAAACCCAAACTAAAAAAATGATGCTGCAAATAAAAATGATGCTGCAAATAAGAATCTCAATAAACCGAATAAAAACCTCACTGCAAAGTCTCCTGTGCTCGTGGATTGGTAGGGTTAATAATTCCAACATGATTCTGCACAGAATTTGAAAAACAAAACCAAACAAAGCCCCCAAATTTGTATGGAAACACAAAAGATCAGAGTGGCTAAAACAATCCCGAACCAAACAAAACAAAGCAGAAATAAATGGCTGGGGAAATGGCTGGAGGCATCATGACCAGGCTGCAGCGGGTGGTTCGAGACCCATGGCGACATGTATGGGTCTGGTTCAACTTGCTGGGTCACAAAACAAAATAAAAAGTTGTGAAGGTAGGAAAAGAACTCGTAGAGATGAGAAGAGGTTGATAGGGGTGGAAGGGAGATAAAGGACAGAAGGGTGAGAGTAACTAGATTGCATTACATTTCTGTATCTATGAAATTTTCATATAACAAAATTAATAATAATAATAATAATAATAATAATAATAACAAATACAAAACTGCTTGTGCAGAAATCCAGCTGCACACATTTGTATCACTCCCATGTAACTTGAGGGACGGGAGGACTGAGATAGCCTTTCTGTTCCTTATATTGGTTGTTATGCATATTAAGACCCATTGTCTCAGGCCCTGGAATGTCACGACCTTTGCCTGTATCCACTAAACAGTGGGAAGATAACTCATGAATTTGCAAACCTCAGGCCCTTCATAGTTCTTTGCATAGAGTCATGAAGGATGCTCAACAGCAGACTCTGAACATTGTAGGTGGCCGTTTTGAAACACGTGGAGTTCTTACTAAGCACAGCGAACTCTATAGGAAGCAAATGCATAATTTCCCATGGCTGAGCAATTCATGGCAGGTATAACCTAGCTTTCCTTTAACTAGCCCCATGTCTGTTTTTGTTGAAACAAGCTTTCTTGTAGACAAGGTCTTGTAGACCTTGACTTCCATCCATGATGGAGTGTAAACTAAAAGGTGAAAGAAACCTCTTCTTCTGAAGCTGCTTTTGATTATGGCATTTTATCACAGGAATAGAAATCTAGCTGAGACAGAGTATACAGTCTTACAGTGGGTTTTGCAAGAGGGAATGTAGTAGATTGCTGTGGGATGGTCTGTATGTCAAGTGTGTTGCTGATTGGTCAATAAATGAATCACTGATTGGCCAGTGGCCAGGCAGGAAGTATAGGCAGGACAAGGAGGAGAATAAAGCTGGGAAGTGGAAGGCTGAGCCAGAGAGACACTGCCAGCTGCCACGATGACAAACAGCATGTGAAGATGCCAGTAAGCCATAAGCTACACGGCAAGGTATAGATTAATGGAAATGAATTAATTTAAGCTGTAAGAACAGTTAGCAAGAAGCCTGCCATGGCCATACAGTTTGTAAGCAATATAAGTCTCTGTGTTTACTTGGTTGGGTCTGAGCGGCTGTGGGACTGGCAGGTGAGAGAGATTTGTCCTGACTGTGGGCCAGGCAGGAAAACTCAAGCTACAAATGACGTCCAACGTGGTGGCAAGAGTTTCCACCTAAAACCTGAGAAAAGATTCTAAAACGGAGCTAAAAACAGCTTCCTAATTGTCTCTCTCAAATGAGCGACAGCTGCCAGTTTGAGCTACTGGTGGGTTCCTAGCTTGACCTGCAGTATGGCGGGAATGAGGCCTCTGTAAGTGGCACATTAAGCTGTGTGGTGGATTTAGCCTTTGCTAGTACAAAACAAAAAAAAGAGGTTTCTGGGCTACACGCTGCTTGGATAAAAGCATATAGACCCACGATAGCTCCCAGAGCTGGTGGTAAACTACCACTGCCAAGTTGGGAAGCTGAGGTGGGCGGAGGCAGTAGCCACAGCTGTTGCAGTTTAAAGCAATAGATTCACAATAAGACAGATTCAGATGCAATAGTTTACAATGTGTGTAAAATATACGTAGGCTTGAAAGAGACAAAAAAGGTGATATATACAGTTATATAAACAGATACGTAGTTTTAAAAAATAAAGTCTTTAAAGAGACAATAAAATTAATATAAAAAATAAGCCATGTAAAGATGAATATTACACAGAGAATCTGGATTGTGTTGTCTTTGGGATTTTTAACTGCAGAAAAACATTTGATTGTAAAAGATGTTGAGTTAAACCAATATGTATATTTTAAAGATACCTTGACTTCAAAATTTGGATATAAGGATATGTTGCTTTGGAAAAGAGTCTCTGCTTTTGTTCCCACAGAAAGCCAGAGGCTATGAATTTGTTCCAGATTAAGATACATCAGGTTTGACCAGCCAAGACCCCCTGAAAGGTCTCCGATGACACCATGGCCCAGATGATCCAATATCCAGAATGGTTTGAAGGCATCTGGCTCAGATGATACACCCTCACCGACTACTCCATAATCCTAAAATTTTCTTTGTGTCCCCAAAAGATACAGCGCCCCCCTCCAGGAGGAAGTTGTAAGAGAAGCTACGTCCAAATTCCCAAATAATATGTAATTTTACTTTGTTAAGGTTAAAACCTTCCTTTTTGAAAAAAAAAAAAAGAAAAGATAAGAAAAGGGGAAGTGCTGTGGGATGGTCTGTATGTCAAGTGTGTTGCTGATTGGTCAATAAATAAATCACTGATTGGCCAGTAGCCAGGCAGGAAGTATAGGCAGGACAAGGAGAATAAAGCTGGGAAGTGGATTGCTGAGCCAGAGAGACACTGCCAGCTGCCACGATGACAAACAGCATGTGAAGATGCCAGTAAGCCATGAGCTACATGGCAAGGTATAGATTAATGGAAATGAATTAATTTAAGCTGTAAAAACAGTTAGCAAGAAGCCTGCCACGGCCGTACAGTTTGTAAGCAATATAAGTCTCTGTGTTTACTTGGTTGGGTCTGAGCGGCTGTGGGACTGGCAGGTGAGAGAGATTTGTCCTGACTGTGGGCCAGGCAGGAAAACTCAAGCTACAGTAGATTATCACTTTATACAAAAATATTTTGGCATTTTGAGAAGAGAGTAAAAAGTGATTTTACAAACTACGTAGCATGTCTATAATGTATATTTATTTCAGCTCATTTACTACAAATTTGACTTGCATATTCATTACTTCAGTTATTGATAAGGTACTGCACACAGCATATCATGGTACTATTTAAGCACTATTTTCCTTTTTCACAAAACATTCTCAAGAGCTATTTAAAAATGAGTTTTGTCTGCGATTACAAATATTTCTCTTTGTCTGCAATTACAAATATTTCTCATATAATTCACATTTGCA